CTACCGCGTAGTGGGTCCCGAAAATGTCTACGTCGGCGATAAACTGCCACTGCATTCCGACGAACAGGCAGAACTGCCGTACGTTGTCTGCGCTGAGTTCGGCAATGATCTGACAAAACGCACCGTGCTCATTTATGGGCATGTTGATGTGAAGCCAGTAGATAAGAATGAGAACTGGACTCACGATCCATTTGACCTGCAAGTGGTTGGCGAGTATATGTGGGCCAGGGGGGTTACGGATGACAAAGGCCCCGTCGTCGGATGGTTGAATGCTATTGAAGCATACGTAGTAAGCTGAGGACTTTGCTAATATCAATTAATGTTCTCATCTTTATTTTTAGTCCATGATTTAAAATCATTACCGGTTACTGGCTTAAGTAGCCACTAGCTTGTCTCGAAAGCTAACTAAACTGCACCTTGGCAATGTATTTCTCTAAAAAACCTATACTTTTTTATGTAGGCGCATTTAGCAAACGCGTATTAAATTGGGTAATAAAAAAAACACCGAGTTCGCCATGTGAAACACTTGTCTTGCGAAACGTAGCCAATCAGAATGCATCAGTCCACTGATTGGCTGCAGGTGACCGGGGGCCCATGCTCTGGGTGCAAGACTCAACATACTCATTGGCAACTCGTTGACTGAGCAAAAGCTCGTCAAGCGAAACACATTTTCTGCAGGTGGCCCACCCGTTACCTCAAATGCTTGTAGATGAGGCTACTCGTCACTGTACATTGCCAGTATTGAAACCACAACCTCGGGAGGATACCAAGTAATGCAATAGCAATAGATAACAATGTATCCTTTAATGTTTCAACCGGCTATTTTATTTAAACGTCCAAATCAATAGACAATGAACACAAAAAAATCAACAAATGACTCACTAGATAGTCCTTGAAACAAAGTACGCATCGCACATGTGGCTTCCTGTTGCGTAAAATTCGATGGCTTAATTATTTCGACTATTAAATTAATGGTGTATTCTATTCCGCAGAAAACCAAAATTGAAATACCTGTGAACCTCAGGGTCCTTATTGATGGCAGTGAAGAAACGGGTTCAGAACATATTCGTGTGCTTCT